GCCCGTTCTCCCTGCAGAACACGGTCACCACCGGCATCGTCAGCACCACGCAGCGCGGCGGCAAGGAGCTGGGGCTGCGCAACTCGGACATGGACTACATCCAGACGGACGCCATCATCAACGTGAGCCGGCCGCGGGCCCTGCGGGTCGGGGGTCAGGCTTGGGAACCAGGGGGCGGTCTGAGCCCCCAGGCGCCCTGCAAGGGTTTCCCAGGAGCAGGAGGCTCGACCCTTAGCCACCGGCAGGGACTGCTGGGAAGGGGACTTTATTTATTTTTATTTTCTTAAATATGTTTTTATTGATGTCAGAGCGGAAGGGAGAGGGAGAGAAGCATCACTGATGAGAGAGAATCATGGATCGGCTGCCTCCTGCACGCCCCCCACTGGGGATGGAGCCCGAAACCCGGGCCTGCGCCCTGACCAGGAATCGAACCCTGACCTCCTGGTTCATAGGTCGACGCTCAACCCCTGAGCCATGCCGGCCGGGCTGCAGGGGGCTTTAGATCGGCCAAGCTCTGTAGCCAGAGGTCCCCCTTCCCCCGGCATAGACCCTGCAGTGCCCGGGGGCAGGGGAGGGGGCTCACCGTGCTGCGGGGTGCACCTGAGCGGTACCCCTGCCCTAGTCGGTGTCTGATGAGGACGGGGCTGCTCCTCACTCTCACGTGTGGAATCTTTTCTAAATCACATTCCCCGCCTCCTGTGTCTCCCCGAAGGGCTGACGTTTGTAGAAGCCACGTCCCCCCACATCTGTGTGTGAATAAGGAGCCCCCACATCTGTGTGTGAATAAGGAGCACCCACATCTGTGTGTGAATAATAAGGAGCCCCCACATCTGTGTGTGAATAAGGAGCCCCCACATCTGTGTGTGAATAAGGAGCCCCCACATCTGTGTGTGAATAAGGAAGGCAGTGTGTTTCCGGCCTGGCTGCCTCTTGGGTTCCTTCCCAAGCTCCCTCCCGCTCTGCACGGAGCAACGGGACTAGAACTCGCCGGGCGGGGTTCAGGGGTCCCACAGCCGGGGCTGTGCAGGCTGAGACCTGGAGGGAAGGTTGTGTGGGTGTCGTAGGGAGTTCAGAGTCAGCCTCTGAGCTTCCAGGGAACAGTCCCGATTTTGGCGAATCTAAAACTCCCCGGAAATGGCTCAGGCCCCTCTTTCCCAGCAGAACCCCAGGGCGACAGGCACAGGCGACAGCAGCCTCACTCAGGCGCCTGTGGGCAGGGAGGGAGGGGGGCCTCGGGGACGCTCTGACCCTCCTGTGTTTGCTTGCAGTATGGGAACTCGGGCGGCCCCCTGGTGAACCTGGTAAGGCCTTCGGTTTCCAGCGTCGTGGTTTGCGCTTTCCTTCTCGACACGATCCTGCCTCGTTCTCCGCTCACCCCTCATTCACCGCTCACTCCTCCAGGGGTCACCCTCACCCCACATTCACCGCTCACCCCTCACTCCAGGGGTCCCTGCTCACCCCTCACTCCAGGGGTCACCCCTCACCCCTCATTCACCGCTCACCCCTCACTCCAGGGGTCACTGCTCACCCCTCACTCCAGCGGTCACCCCTCACCCCACATTCACCGCTCACCCCTCACTCCAGGGGTCACCGCTCACCCCTCACTCACCGCTCACCCCTCACTCCAGGGGTCACTGCTCACCCCTCACTCCAGGGGCCACCCCTCACCCCTCATTCACCGCTCACCCCTCACTCCAGGGGTCACTGCTCACCCCTCACTCCAGGGGCCACCCCTCACCCCTCATTCACCGCTCACCCCTCACTCCAGGGGTCACCCCTCGGTCACCGCTCACTCCTCACTCCAGGGGTCACTGCTCACCCCTCACTCACAGGAGTCACCGCTCACCCCTCACTCACAGGTGAGGCCGGGGCTGGGGGCTGACCTCCCCGGCTGCGGGAAGAGGCAGGGAGGGGTGTGTGTGTGCTCTGGGCCGGCTCCCCATTCCAGCCCGAGGTGAACAACCCCTAACGATGGTGCGGGAACAATGGTCGCCCGGCGTGAGGGGGCCTGTTACCCCAGGGCCCTGGCCAGGCGTTGGCTCGACGGCGGCTCACCTGGCATCAGAGCGCCCTGTAATGGCCTCTCCCATGACCTAAGCGAGGGGAGACCAGCCCGGAAGTGAGGCCACGGTGCCCCTCACCCCCGCCCCCGTCGGCCCCAAGGCTGCTGCCTGAGCTGCATTTTCTGGAAACGGGGGGCCAGCCCACCCTCCCGCCAGCGGGCACCTGAGGGGACTGGCCACGGAGAAGAGGGGTGTGGACGCACTCGGCGCTCTGAGGGTTATGTGTCCCGACACTGCACCTGGGGCGGTTTTCACGGCCGGTGGTCCCCGAGGGGGGCCGAGTATGCAGGTCCCCTTGCTGAGCGAGGCTCCGCTGCCCGATGACGCCTGCCCCCACCCCCAGGGCCCGGAGCCCCTCCTGCCAGCCCCCCATCCACCGAGAGCATCTTCAGGGGAACCTGTGGGCCCGGGGGCCATTTCTGTCTTGCCTTTCAGGATGGCGAAGTGATTGGCATCAACACCCTGAAAGTGACGGCCGGCATCGCCTTTGCGATCCCATCGGACAAGATTAAAAAGTTCCTAACGGAGTCCCATGACCGACAGGCCAAAGGTGACGCGAGCGGACGGCCGGGGTGGGGGGCGTGGTGCAGGCCTGAGGCGCTGCTCCCCGGGACCCGGGACCCAGCAGGGACGGGACCCCGAGGACCCCAGCGCTGTTACTCAGGACGGGACGGGGCGCGTGTCCTGAGCCCCGGGATTCGATCGCAGAGATTTTTGGTCGCGGCCCAAGGCCCATGAGCATCCGTGAGGGTGACGGGTGCCAGCCGGATCCCAGGGGACCCGCCCCCCCATGCAGCTCCTCACTCACGTGTGTCCTGTGAGACCTTGGCCCCGCTGGTGGGATTTAGTCCCATTTCTGCTGAGATTGGGGGGTCATTCATCCACAAATGTCGGGGGGCCCATCGGCTCAGGCCCAGCGGGGGATCCTGAAGGTGTGATGTTCACCTTCCACCTGGGCGGGAGGCGGACGGGAAACAAACCAACCATGCGATTCTGATGGCAACAGGGCTTCCCGGAAAATGAGGCAGGAGCCGGGCTAGGGAGTGAGGGGCAGGGCAGCGGGGAGACCACGAGTCCGGCGGACGGGGGCGGGGAGGGCTGATCGAGCCGTCCCCTGGGCTGACGCGCTGTCCCCGCTGTCCCCAGGCAAAGCCGTCACCAAGAAGAAGTACATCGGCATCCGCATGCTCTCGCTCACGTCCAGGTGGGTCCCGGGAGGTGTGTGTCTTGCATGTAAGGAACGGAGCCTCAGACGTGCTCGCCGGCGCCCCCGCAGGAGGGGCTCACGCTGCCGACGAGGCCCCGCCTCTGGTGGGACGTGTGTCGCCTGAGGAGAGAGGGGGGGCCGTTCTCCTGGGCCCTCGTTTTATTTTTATGTTTTAAAAATATGTTTTTATTGATGTCAGGGAGGAAGGGAGAGGGAGAGAGAGAAACATCCATGATGAGAGAGAATCACGGACCGGCTGCCTTCTGCAGGCCCCCCACTGGGGATGGAGCCCGCACCCCGGGCCTGCGCCCCGACCGGGAATCGCACCCTGACCTCCTGGTTCATAGGTCGACGCTCAGCCACCGAGCCACGCCGGCCGGATGACCCCTCCTTTCACCTTTCAGTTGGTTTCTCTGTCTGAGCGGGTCCTTCCTTCTGGAAAGTTCCACCTTGTTTTGCAGGCAGCCTGGATGGCGGGCGCCGGTCACTCCCACAGGCCGGGCCGCCACCCACATTCCATTCCGGGAGGGCCCAGGTGCCCTCCGCCCGGCGCCCTGCCGCCAGCTCCCCGTGGCTGTGGCTCTGGAATGCGGGCAGCCCTCGCCCGAGGCGTGTTTTCCCGGAGCCGGAAGAGGTCGGGGCACGTGGCCGCCCGGCCCATGACAGGCCGGGGTTTGCCTCCCTCGGTGACAAGGTCTGACGTCATCGCGTGCGTCCCCGTGACCAGGGGTGTGGCTGACGCTGGGTCAGTGCGTATGAGCGCCAATATGTTCCTGCTGGAACTGGCTCACGGTTGGTTGTGAGCCCGTGTTGTAGGTGAGATGCGTGTTACGGAGGCCGGTCCCTTCTCAGCCACGACGAACGGTGGACCCGTCCGGCCTCGCCCGCGGGGAGCAGGCATGAGCCGGCCGCCTCCGGGGTTCTGGCCGGGCTCTGCTGCTTCCCGCCGGCGTGTGGCTTTGGGACGAGCTGGCCTCGGTTTCCTGCTGTCGGGGTGAGGCAGCTGCAGGCACCGAGTGGAGGGGTGAGGGCCGAGTGACTCAGTGGGTGTCGAGGCTGGGACGTGGGCGGCACTGATCTGGCCGCGGTGACGCCAGCCGCCACGTGTCTCCTGCCCGCGCTGTGCCAGGCACGGCCTCGTGCTGCAGCCAGAGGGCCCCACCTGCCTCCCGACCACCGTGTCCAAGGGGCAGGGCATCGTCGTCCCTGTTTCGCATTTGAGCGAGTGAGGCCCAGACCGCACAGTGAGCAAGTGGCAGGGCAAGGCTCCCAGCCAGCCGACCGCATACCATACTGACTCCTCCAGTGGCAGCTGCTGCCAATTCATGACTCAAATCAGTGGAGCCCGGCCGGGGGGCTCAGTGGGTGGAGCATTGACCTAGGAACCAGGAGGTCACAGTTAGATTCCGATCAGGGGCACAGGCCCAGGTGGTGGGCTTGATCCCCAGAAGGGGGCGTGCAGGAGGCGGCCGATCCATGAGTCTCTCTCATTGATGTTTCTCTCTCTCTCTCTCTCTCCCTCTCCCTCCCTCTCTGACATCAGTAATAAGAAAAGAAAATAAATAAAGTAAATACGATTGACGGACTGATGAAACTCTCTTGCTGTTTGTTACCCAGTAAATCTTTGCGTCTTGTAGACGGGCGGCTGGGAGCAGAGCCAGAACTCCCGGGGTTTTATGTTAGAATTGGGGATGGAGGAGGAGGCTGGAGCGGAGGTTTTGGGGGGCTGTGGGGAGGGGGGCGGTGTCGCTCGCTTATGAG